TAGTTTTGTAGCCCAGCCTGCCCTTAAACTAAAAAAAATCTGCCAGCCTCTCCTTCCATATGTCGGAATTAAAGGCATGGACCACCATGCATCAATCGAACCCTGGTTTTTTGTTTATATGGGGTTTTTTTCTTTTTTTTGGTTTTTTGAGACAAGGTTTTCTCGTGGTTTTGGAGGCTGTCCTGGAACTAGGTCTTGTCGACCAGGCTGGAGAACCCTGTTTTAACAAGTAACACTGCCTGCCTTGCTCAGTGGCACATGTATTTATTCCCAGTTCTTGGGAGGCAGAGTCAGTAGATTTCCCTTAAGTTCAAGGCCCCCGCCTGGTCTAAGTGAGTTCCAGGACAGCCAGGGATAGAAAGAGAGACTGTGTCAAACAACAACAATAATGATAAAAACATTTACTTTTATATCCAAGGCTAGTCTAGGAAATCCATAGGTATCTTAGATGACCTAGAACAAGAATCCCTATATCCCCACTTCCAATGGGCTGGGTGGGACAGGCATTATGACCTCTTTATCCAGTGTTTGGGGTGGAGCACCCTGAGCCTCCTGCATTCTAGGCCAGTACTCCAAAAGTTATTAAAGGGAAATGAGAAATTCTGGAGAGTGAGAGGATTTTTAAATGAGAAAAACCTTCCTAAAATTACTTAGGTTTCCTTTGTTGCTATTGACAGAGAGAGGCTGTTGAATTGGAATTTACTTTGTGTTTGTTTACTATGAAGTTCTGAGTGGCCTGGACCTTGCTATGTGAAGCCGACTAGAATTCATAGAAATCCTCCTGTCTCTGCCACCAGGGCAGGAAATGTATGTTTGCTTCAGTGAGTGAGTGCCTGAGTGCATTCGTGTGTGTTGGGTTGGGGGGGGGGTGTTTCCAGGTCTTCTCCAGTACTACAGCTGGTTTGGAACGACTTGTCCTCTGGCTCTTCACACACCACAGACTTGGATGAGAGGCACCATGTCTGATTCGATTTGTTTTCTTTTCTTTTTTTTAAATTTTATGTGCATTGGTGTTTTGCCTGCTTGTGTGTCCCTGTCAGATCTTGGAGTTACAGACAGTTGGTAGTTGCTATGTGGGTGCTTGGAGTGGAATCTGGCAGTCAGTGCTCTTAACCACAGAGCCATCTCTCCAGCCACAGGATTTGTTTTCTTGTAACTTAATGAGTTAAGCTTTAATACTTCCTGAAGTTTGATTTTTGTTTACATGAATTGACATTTCCTTCAATGTATTTCTTGAAAGTTTCCAGAATCCAACAAGATGGGCATCCCGAATCCACCCACACTGGAGGAGCTGGCAAGGCAGGCGTTGCTGAGAGATGAGGCCTTGACCATCTCTGTTCTGGAAGACTTGCCCAAGATGCTCTTCCTAGCACTGTTCCAGGAGGCCTTTAGTCATAGACTCCCTAACATTGTGAGGGCAATGATGGCAGCCTGGCCTTTCCCCTACATCCCTGTAGGGACCTTGTTAACCTCTGGAACCCTGGAGTTTTCTCAGGTTGTGGTGGAAGGACTGAGGGCCCTGCTGACACAGCAGGATCGCCCTGTGTAAGTAAGACCCATGTAGGGTCACATGGAGGATTCTGCGGTACAGAGGAGAGGGATTTGGAGTTGAGATGATAGGGTCAGTGGGAGATGAGAGGCTTTGGTAGCATCAGCTTGGAAGACTGCAGAACCCTTGACTGCTATTGATGGAGGAGGACAGTTGGGTGTGGGTGAGGAACAGAGAAGATGTGGGCACAGTAGGGGGAGCCTGACGCTGTCTCTCCCACAGGCGCTAGTAGTACCAGGTCAAGAGAAACTGAATGGAGGGAAGCCAGACAGAGTGCTACTGATGCAGCTCAGAAAGAGCCATTGCCTGGGACTAGGAGGTCGTTGGACACTCAGAGCTGGGAAAAACCCAAACAAGCTTTGCAGAAATCCTCATGGGAGAAAGGAAGAGCTGACATTAGAGATGTGTGGAAAGGAACAAATGTCTTTGGGGGGGTCTTCCCTCTCAGTGACCCTTTACCTGTTTTACACACAGGACGGGGAATGTTCGAATACTCGATTTTCGGAGGGTGGCCCATGAGATCTGGACTGTAGAGGCTAAAACAGAAGATGGGGACTGCTCAACAGAGACTGTAAGTGAGAAGCAGGCGGTGAAGCCCCCTCCCAGATACGAGCAGAGGCAGCGTCTGAAGGTGATAACTGACCTCTACTCCAGGTTCCAACAGGAAGAAGAAGAAACAGATTTATTACCGGGGGCTCAGCATAGAAAAGACTCCCTACAGCTGTGCTGTGTGAACATGAAAATTGTGTTATTGTCTGAAGATCATGTCATTATGTTCCGGCAAATTTTCAGGCTATGGGACATTGAGATGTTAGAATTCACCTTAGATTGGAATTGGAGTTCTCTGTTACGATTTTATCCCTATTTGGCGCATATGAAAAATCTTCACACACTTTCTCTAGTCTGGATGGACAAGAACACATATGAGCATGCCTATACATCAGAGTACAAGTGGTTTGTCCGTGCTTTCATATCTGAGCTCTCCAAAATCAGCAGTCTCCAGCATCTCTATATGAACGGCATCTGTTTTCTCAGTGACAACATGAGACACTTGCTCAGGTAAGGATGGATAGAGAGCTGTTTCTGCTTCCAGAGAAAAACTTTGCATTGTATGTTAAAGAGTAGTGGACCTGGTATCTGCCAGTCCTTGGAGAATGAATTGTGAAGGATCCATTAGAATATCTAAGCATGGTCTCCTTTCTATGCAAACTGAATCTGGGTCTCCCAAGACCACTCATGGAGCACAGGCCTGATTTAGGGTAGGAAATGTGTGCATAGTATGACACAAATGCAGTCAGATTGGTCAGATTTAGTGAGGATACTGTGCTTTCTCACTTAGAATCCTGGCTAAACTAATGGAAAGTGAACAGAGAAAGAAGGGTTCCCAAGAGTGGAGGATCAGAATACCTGCATAGCTCCCCAGGGGGTATCCCATGTAGGAAATGATTTGAGCAAGTGGGGGCTGAAGGATGGGAAATGGTGACAGTGGGGTTGAAGATCAGTGTGGGGTGGAGACTGGGAATCCCCAGAGATATGGTGACAGGAAACAGAGGGCAGTGACCACTGCCTGAAATGCTCTCAGGTCTTTCAGGGGATGGTCCTTCCCTTATGTGCCCTAAGGTATAACAGGTGCACAGGAATTCTGTGTCAGTGAGGAGAAGGTGCTGCAGAGCTGTGCACTGAGCCATCCCACAGGGACAATGAAAGACAGCTGTGGGTGTGGCTTTAGTGAATAGAATCCAACAGGCAGCACCATAGATACTGACTTCCATCATGTGGTCCACCTGACACTGGGATACATGTCCCCTTCTACTGTTGTGTAAACAAACCACACACCCTCTCTAGCAGTCAGAATTAACCCCTTGGTCTCTGCCTAGGAACCTGAAGAATCGCCTGGAAACCTTCTGTGTCACTCACTGCCAGCTGTTTCAGGCAAACTTGAACCATTTGTCCCAGTGTCAGCGCCTCTGTCAGCTAAAACATCTGGACATGAGTGGAGTCCTACTCTCCAATTTGTGTATGATGCCTCTCAGGTTTCTCCTAGAGAAAGTGGCAGACACTCTTGAGACACTGGGATTAGAGGGGGGTGGGATAAAGGACTCTCAGCTCAGTGACCTCCTTCCTGCCCTTAGCCAATGCTCCAAGCTCTCAAAGGTCAATTTCTATACCAATGACTTCTCCATGACTGTCTTGAGTGATCTTCTCCACTACACAGCCAACTTGAGCAAGATCACCATGGAGCAGTACCCTGCCCCTCAGGAGTGCTATGAGCTGGGTGTGGTCTCCAAAGAGAGATTTGTACAATTTTGCCCTGTGCTCATGGATACACTCAGGGCCATAAGGCAGCCCAAGAGAGTCTACTTTGCTACAGATGTCTGCAATAGATGTTCTAAGCGATGTGTGTATGAGGAGGAGACCAGGCTTTGTTCTTGCTTGCAATAAGAGGGAGTGCTACTTTTGATCTTCAACTTCTCAGGTTGGTTACCTAGAAAGCTTTGTGTAGAGCTTTAAAACTAAAGTGAGCAATGCATACACACCTTCTATGAAGGATGTTTGGGTTTTGGAGAGGTTTTAATCTGAGATAGTGTTGTAGACAGCATTGTGTGCATATCAGAGATGGAAGTAGGAAAAAACAATGCAGAGCAAATGTGATGTGTTTTAACCTGTGCTATGATCCTCATTTTTTTCTCTGTCACTTAAAAAATTGTAACTTGCTAACCTTGAACTCTTATAAAATTTACTTTTCTTTGCTTTAGTTACATTTATATGATGAGGAGGTACATGCCCCCTAGTGCAAGTGCCAGAGGCATAGGATCCCTAAGTCAGTTGCCTGACATGGTTGACAGAAGCCAAACTTGGCAGCTGTGGGAGAGAAGCAAGTACTCTACAGTCCTGAGGCATCTCTCTCTCCAGCTCCTGACCTAGAACTCTTAATCCTCTTGTTCTGCCTCTACCTCCTAATTGTTGAGATTTGTGATATATCCACCATATCCAGCCTGCACCCTACATGGCTCCTAAAAGCTAGGTGGTCACTGCTATATAAGTCTCCTGTACATGGTCAAAATTCCTCTACTGTCCTGAAGCCTTCCTACACTATATATAACTATTTCCACTATTCAATTGTTATCTCCATCTTTTATTTTTAATTCATTTAGGCCTTAATTAGTCTCATATTGTGGGTCTAATCTGATAGCCACAGAATAATTTTGGATCACACTCCTTTATGTCATTTTTGTGTTTATTAAAATAGAGATCCATTGCTTCCATATTGGTCACTATTGTTGACTGACTTTCATACAGTAACTAATTGTAAGTTTGGGTTTTTTTTGTTTTTTTGTTTTGTTTTGTTTTTTGAGACAGAGTTTCTCTGTAAGTTTTGGAGACTCTCTTTGAAGACCAGGCAGGTCTTGAACTCACAGAGATCCTTCTACCTCTGCCTCCCAAGTGCTGGGATTAAAGGCGTGCACCACCACCACCACCACCATCACCACCACCACCACCTAGCTAATTGTAAGGTTTTGTATCAAGTACACTCTGAAAAGAAAGGAAAACATGAAATGGTGTGATTGCCATGACAGTACCATTTGAGGAATAATCTTAAAATTAACCCTTGCTAGGAAACAGGGTCTGTCATAATTCACTTGACATACTGACACTGAATAGTATAGGAAGCACACTGACCACAGACCTTATCATGTGCAAGTCATTTTATATTTTACCTAGAGTCAGTGCTCACATACCAACACATTCTTAGGAGAATACACACTATCCCTATTTAACGACTGTCTTGTGATTTTCTGAACCAAGGCATCTGCAGAGAGGATAGGACACTGTAAGCAGGTTCTTCATGCCAGGCTCTCACGTGGGCTCTAAGTCTTCATATGCAGCAGAGTTTATGATAGGGGAGTGACATACAGCAGGGCCACAGAGATGAAGTTCTACATAGACAGGATGGCATCCCCCTGCCTCTCTGATTCATCTTCTCTAGGTACAGTTTCAATATGAGGTCGTGAACCCTGAACATGCAGGTTCTGGGTCACCAGCTTACAGGGGATCTGCCTGATCTTCTTTCAACACACACTATAAAACACACACAGGGAACCTGGCCAAAGATCAAGGAACTGAAGAAGAAAAGGTATCATTACATACAAGGCAAATGTTCTACCTCATAGTCAAGCCCCAGAATGTTAGAAAATCTGAAGGTATTTGGTTTTTAGTGATGCTGCTTATATTTTAGAGCTATGGTTTCAATTTATAGAAGAAATTGGTTTGAAACTCACTTTGAAGATTATTCTGCTCTCAAACTCCCAGGCATCCTCCTGTCTGAGCTGGGGATGTAGCTCAGCTGGTTGAGTGCGTGCCTATGTATCAAGAATTCCCTGGGTTTGATCCCAGGCTCCCAGCACCACATGACAGCAGCTGTGGTTGTTCATGCCTGTTATCCAAGCACAAAAGGAGGATGTGAAGTTCAAGGTCGCCTTCAACTATGTAGTCAGAGGCCACCAGGGTAATTGAGATCCCGACTCAGAACAAGTAAGAGGTAAAGACTACAGGAATTCAAGTAGACCTTACTAAAGCAAGAACAATGCTGAGACAGGTACAGAGACTCTGTGCAAGAGGACAGCACCTAGTTCCAAAGTGGTTGCTGGTCTGCAGAGCTGAGTCAAGTCTGTTGACATAAGCACCAATGGTCTGGTGACATACCCACCATAAGTCTGATTGGTAATGTCAGGTGTCCCTCTCTGCAGGATCTGGGAGAAGTGTTACAATAAATCTTTCTGCCAAAAGCCGCCAAGCCCCACCGCCACATGTGCACTCTACACCAGCCGCCCGCCTGAGTTAGGGCCCCAATTAATGCACAAAGAGACTTGTATTAGGTTCAAATGCTGCTTGGCCAATGACTGGGATTCTCATCTGTTAGCTCAGTTTCAATTATCATAAATCTATACATTTTATAAGACTTATCTTATCGGATGCCTTATTGGAACCCCTCCTTGCCTCTCAGCAGCCCAACAGGGCCAGCTGTGGCGGCAGGTTCCCCTCTTTCTCTGGGAACCTTGGGGCATGGGGTCATTCTGCTCACTGACACCATTCTGTTACAGTAGAGAGGGGTTAAAAAACTTCAGTGATCTTGTGTCCAGTGACATTACAGGTGCTGCCTTTCTTTCTGATGCATGTTTTATGCTGCCTCTTCATTTCCTTTTGGTTGAATTAGCCAATCTCCTATGTGGTAAATCCTAATATGTTGGAACTCTCAGTTCTAGAAAGGATGTTTCCATCAAGTCTCTCCCTTCAGGCCTCGGGTTTCTTGTGTAAATGAGAAAGGAAGAATGTTAGAGCCCTAGGGGAGGGTGGACATCAGGAACCCTTAAACACATCAAGACTGATGGATTTACTGTGGCAGCATGAGCAGGGCCTGCATGGGTCTGCAACACATGGGGTGCTGATGTTGAGAGATGTGGACACAAGCTTCAACCACTCACCCAGAGATATCTCCAATTGATAAGGATGACAAATGAAAAACTATTTAAGACACACACTGCTCTTCCAGAGGTCTTGAGTTCAATTCCCAGCAACCACATGGTGGCTCACAACCATCTATAATGAGATCTGGTGACCTCTTCTGGCATGCAGGCAGAATACTGTATACATAATAAATAAATCTTTAAAAAAAAATAAGACACACACACCTTACAGCTCCTTTCCTTACATATTACGGCTACCAATTTTGTGTTTTTATGGTATTCCTGTGTGTGAACATGTCCTGCATCTATATGTATGTGTTCCTCATGCTTTTTGTTTGCTTCTTTTTCCTCTGTTATTTATTTTTTACCTATTCCAATCCTGTTTTGTTTGTTTTTTGAGACAGGGTTTCTCTGGATCAGCACTCCTTATTTTTTCTTGGCGTGATTACTGTGAGTGTTCATTTGTGTACTGGTGCTCTGAGAGGAGAGTGCAGCTGAGGCAGGGTGGTCTAGACACTGAAGTCTTCTCTCTCATTCCACCTGGTGGTCATCTCACTGGCTGCTAAGCTCCCTTAATTTTTTTTTTTTTTAATTTTTGCTTCAGGCTGGGAGTTGGTGGCTCACACCTTTAATCCCAGCACTGGGGAGGCAGAGGCAGGCAGATGTCTGTGAGTTCGAGGCCAGCCTGGTCTACAGAGCAAGTTCCTGGACAGCCTCCAAAGCAATACAGAGAAATCCTGTCTCGGAAAAACAAATTTATATTTTGGTTTCCAAGAGAGGGTCTCTATGTAGCTCCTGCTGTCCTAGAATTCACTCTGTAGACCCAGATGTCCTCAACTTGTGATCCACCTAACTCTGCCTCCTGGGCACTGGGATTAAAGGCGTGTGCCGACACCACCCTACTGTTTTTAAAATGTCCCTATGCCTCCCCATTGCATTCTCAATTTTCTGTATAATGAAGCAGCAATAAAATAATTCTGTATCATAGTTTTCTTCTTCATCGGTTACATAGAGTGATGGTCCTGTTTTAAATGTCATTATTATTGTCTGGCTCCCATACACCAACTGATTGTAAGGACTCTGGACAGAAATAAAATGGGAACGGCTACATGTCTATAGTGACTCTATTCCAAATTGGGGCAAGGTAGATAAAGTTTACACTAGGGTGCACTACATATCCAGGCCAGCCTGGGATACAGAGAGTGACCACAGAGCCAGAGGAATGGCTCAAAGGTTAAAAGCTCAGGCATATGTTCTTTCAGAGGGTTCAAGTTCAATTTCCTATGCCCAGAACTGGTGGCTCACACCTGCCTATAAGTCCAGCTCCAGCTGATAGGAGTCTGTGTGGACACCTGCATTCAAGAGCATTAATCCACACAACACAGGTATGCATGTGAGTATACCTAAATGAAATTTAATGAAAAAAAAAACAAATTTTATAAGTACCCAAAAAACTAACCTCCTAGTTAAAATAGATATGCTTAGTGGCGGGATGCTTGCCTGGTGCCTGTGAGGCCCTGGGCTCCACCTTCAGCTTTACATGGTAACTGGAGTATCTGGAGCTTGAGGCTGAGTTTCAACTCAGTGTTGAACACTTGCACAGCTTGCTTGTGGCTCCTGGCTTTGCTCCTCAGCACCATGGATAAACTAAAGAATATGAGAGGCTTGGACACATAAAGTACTTTTAGATACAGAGTCACAAGTAATCAGGTGTGTATTTCACATAAACATAGTACTGCTTAAGTGTCATCTTTTGAGTTTTAGGTTTCAGATGGTTTTCTTCCTTTTATTTTTTTTTCCCAGAGAGCATGCCACTCACTACATAGCCCTCACATAGCAATTCCTGGGTCCCTAGCTTCCTTGGATGTACCTCACTTGACAGTGCTTTCCTACCATACTTGAGACCCCCATTTGGATCTGTGAATTCCATTAAATGGGGCACAGTAGTGCCACTTGTAGTCCCCCCATACTGGAGGT